CACTGCCGCCTGGCCCGAAATAGCTTCTTTCAGGAGTGTAGGTGACCCCAAAATAGCTTCTTCAGTGGAATGTCCTGTCCCAGCATGGATAATGAGCCCCCAGAAGCTGTGCAGACGAAGTACCCTTTCAGTTAACTTTGTACTTCGTATATAGTCTCACTCCTCAGGAGACCACATGCAGGGTGGGGGAGGGGCAGGCAAGGGTGGTTCCTAGGGAAAGGAGTGCCTGGAATCTGGGTTGAGGGACACTTGCTGGCTGTCACAGCTGCTCTGATTTTGATGGTGAAGTCCAGCCCTCCCAGTAAGCAGGTGGCAATCACCTGTCTGTCCTTACCTTGGTGGACACTGAATGGAAGGCATTACAGCCTTTCTTTTCTTTATTTATTCTTTTTATTTATTTTTTCATTTTTTATTTTTTGAGAACAGTCCTGGCTATCCTGGAACTCACTCTATAGACTAGGCTGGCCTCAGACTCACAGAGATCCTGCCTCCCAAATGCTGAGATTAAAGGTTTGCTCCCAAGTGCTGGGATTAAAGGCCTGTGCCACCACACATGACCTTCTTTTCTTTTTTACAAACTCAGATTTATTCTTTTTATTTTGCATGTGAGTGTGGGGCCTGCATGTATGTTTGTGTACCACGTGCATGCTTGGTGCCTACAGAGGTCATAAGGGGGCATCAGATCCCTTGGGACTGGAATGATGAATGGATATGAAACACCATGTGGGTCCTGAGAATCGAACCTGGGTCCTCTGCAAGAGCAATAAGTGATCTTAACCACTATGCTTTCTGTCCAGCCCCTCAAAGCATTTTCTGTACCCATTATCCCAATGACCTTGTCAGGTCCAGTAGAATTACATTTCCGTGGTGCAGATGAAGAGTCTGAGCCATCAGAAAGCCAAAGGACACTCTAGAGCCACACAGTAACAGAGTAGGACAAGTACCATCACTCCTCACTTAGTCTGGGGCTTCCTCCCTTCCATCTGGGCAGCCAACTGTTAATCTTCCTGGGCCATGAGACCTGGTGGCCATAAAATCCAGCTCTGCAAATCAATGAGTGGGATGTTTTCAAGAAGGGGAGCCCTTGAGCAGGGAGATGGCTCAGCAGGTAAAGGCGTTTGCTGCAGAAGCCTGGCAACCTGAGTTTGTTTCCACTAACCAACTCCACAGAGTTGATCTCTGACCTCCACACGTGGACCCACATACACACATCATGCTCCCATGTAATAAATAAATAAAATTGAAAAGAAATAGGGTGGCTGTAGGTAAAGGTCTTTGCTGATGAACTGGAGGACCTGAGTTTGATCTCTGGGACCCACAATGTGGAACTGACTCTCATGGCTTGTCTTCTCATGGCTTGCCTTCTGACCTCCACATACATGCAGTGGCATGGGCTTGCACACACACACTCACTATATGTGTATATATATATATATATACATATATATATATGTTTATACATGTATATGTATATATATGTATGCATACACACACACACTCACACACACACACACACACATATATATATATAAAACAAAAAACTTAAGAAGGGGAACCCTATGTCCAGTGTTTCTTTTTGAGAGTATTGCTTGTCATATGCCTGACTTCTGACATCTAGCACATAGGCCTTAATGAACCAGTGCTACTCTGTTATTATCCTCTTTCCAGAGCATCCCAAGATGTTGCTCTCCTTCCCTGGCCTGGGTTATGTAACCTCTGATATACCATCTGATATGTCGTCTGTAGCTTTGTCCCAGCACACAGCACACCATATTCCATCTCCTCAGTGTCTCTCCATTCCTTGGCTGCTTTATTTCAAGGTTCATGGGTTACCTTTTTCTTTCCAGTCTTCAGTCTAGGATCTGGTTGAGTAAATGCTGATTGAATAGAACTGAAATTGAATGATATAGTTGCAAGGCACATTCAATTACATTGAAGTTTTTCTTTTAACTCTTTTATTTTGCAGTAATTATAGACTCCCTGGACATTGCAAAATCCAAACATCAGACACCTTCTGGTTGATCCCTACAGTGATAAGGCTGAGAAGCCAGTGTTATCATCCATCTCGTTATCTTCACATTTAAATGGGTACCTGAGAATTTCTTTGTGTTTGGAGATGCTGAGATGGTGTCTGCCGTTTTCCATCCAACAGCTGACTGTTGTTTTTGTGGTGCTGGGGTTAGAATCCAGGACCCTGTGTACTATGCAAGGGTTCTACTATGGACCACAGCTCCAGCTAGCAAGCAGCTGGTGGGGCTTTGCTCTTCCTTGTTACTTCTGCTGCATTTTCTCTTAATGACAGAGTCCCACTCTTATGCTAAGGTCTGGCAGGTGGTAAACATTCAGTAATTGTTGATTTAAATTGAATTCTACTTTAGTATCTGAGAAGATATATGACTACTTTCTGGGGACATGTTTGAAAACATCATTTGAAAGTTGTGTATGGGACTGACAAGATGGCTCAGCAGAAAAGATGCTTGCTGTGCAGGCTCGGCGACCTGAATTCCATGATTCCCAGAACCCATGTAAAGGTGTAAGGAGAGAGCTGACTTTACAAAGTTGTCCTTTGACCTCCATAGAAGTGTCCCTTCCCCCAACTAACAATACATAATAAATAAATTCAAAGGTTGTCTGTGAGTGGGGTGTGGGGTGTGCTCAGTGGCAGAGTGCTTGCCCTGTGTGCAGAATGCTCTGAGTTCCATCGACATCCCTAAAAAACCAGAAACAGAACCCTAGTAGTTATCTAGGATTCAAATCTACTGTACTCCTCTGACTGGTGACAGAATTTAATCAAAACATTCTTTAATCAAAACATATTCAGGGACAGGGTGGGAAAGAGAGGCAGAGAGACAGAGAGACAGAAATCTTTGAGAAAAGATAGATGTGAGAAATGGCGGCATAATGCGACCCTGCCTGAGAGCTCTTCCTCTGTGCCACCACGAGAGAAGTGCAGGGCGTCCTGTGGGGAACAGCTTTGCTCTTGGCGTGGCAGGCAGAAAGTAGGGGACTGAAAGTCAAGAAGAGGACCAACCAGGGGGTCAAGTGATTGAAGCCAGCAAAGCAAGAAGGTCTAGAAGGAAAGGCCAAGTGGCTGTTGGGTTGAGGAGACCAGTGACAGCCTGAGGATTTATCATCCCATCCTAAGCCACTGCCACAGCATTTTATTGGTAGCTTTATTATTGTTTGTGTTCCTCCTTTATAAAAACAGGAAAGTTTTTTTTTTAAGCTAATGATGATTTTATTTTTAAGGCTATCACGATTGACATCAGCACGTGCTGGTGTTTTATAAACTGACCATAGATATCACTCCCTAGTAAGCAAGAGTGTTTTTTCCTACTGCTGTGATTTTTGATTTTGAGAGGGAATTACCCATGTGGAAGAAGGATCTTCTGGAATGAGTGGTGGGTTCTGAATTGTGTTTGGGGAGAACAGGATTTCCTGGGGTCTAGAGCCATTCATATGGGATAAGAAGGACAGCTCCAGTAGCAATCTGTCACATGCCTCTTGCAGCAAGTTCCTCTTGCTTGGGAGTGTGTTATTGAAGAGACATTTAATTGTAGGTAAATGACCCCTGCCTTCTGCTGTAATTGAAACTTGGTCTGCTATACTTAATACATCTCACAAACCAGTAAATCTTGAGGGCAGGAGCTCAATGTGCTGTAAAGACAAAGGAAAAAGAAATAGCCTTATCAGGGGCTTTTCTATACAAACAGTTTGCTTCCAAGCAGAAAGAGCTCTTTTGACACAATTTTTGTTTCTCATAATCTCTTTTTCACCAGAATCTGTTTAGTTGCAGATTGCTCTGTTTAGAGAAGAGTATTGGGAAGGGAGTGTGAGACTATGTTCATTCCTTGAGCATGGAATTTGGTCTAGATTTGTGCACGAGGCACACTGCAAGGTCTTGTACCATGTCATATAACTTTAATAACCATGGCAACCACAGGCATTTAGAATTTGACAGCTTGCTCACTCATAAATCCAAGTTGTATCAGTTAGGTAATGCGGCATAATAAATCCCTTCCCCATTAACTGGCCTCAGTCAACAATCACTTGTCACTTAATGATGCAGATGTAGTCTGAGAAGCTGTTTCATTGTGTGACATCATCCAGTAGTATACCTACACACACTACTATTTCTCTGGATAATGCAATCTTGTGAGATCACCATCATATGCTGTCTGTTGCTAACTGAGACATCATCAGTTGATGCTTGATAGTACTTTCCATTATTTTGTGGGTTCTCTGGGTAGATTTTTCTGCTGGTTTTGCCTGGACTCATGCCTGCGTTCACTTGGAAAGTTGGCAAAGGGGCTGAGTTCATTTGGGATACAAAGCATAGCTGAGCTTCTGCCTCTGTGAGGTCTTTCATTTGGGGCTTCGTCACAGGATGGTGGTCTTGGGTTTCCAAGAGAGAATTCTACCTGTGAAGGTAGAATCTGCAAGTCCCCTGGTGCTTACATAGTGTCACCTCTCTCATAATCTGTCCAGCAAAGCAACTCTTAAGGCCAACTCAGATTTGAGGAATGGGGAATCTACTTCTTGAAAGATGGAGCCTGGGAGCTGGAGCTTAAACCACCCACCTTAAACTCCAGTTCCAAGGGACCTGACTCCATCTTCTGGCCTCTGTGGACACCAGACGCACATATGGTACACACACATACATTTAGGTAAACATTGATATGCATAAAATAAAAATAAATAAAATTGTAAAAAAAAACAAAAAGAAGAGCATTTTGTCAGTTTGTTTTATCTCCCACATAGGTAGGTACCTAAAAGAGAATTATTATTATGCCAGTAGTGGGTCTGGGGAAGGTGACCATCCTGAGTTTTGAGTTTTAAATAGCTGCCTCCTCTGTCAGTTGCCCTTAGAGTGGATGTGACAGTTGCCATATGATGGTAGCCAGGCATATTTGTGCACATCTGTACAGTTGTGTTCCTTAGTCAGTTTGTATGGCTTCAAGCCTCATTTCTTCATCTTTAAAATGGCTCAGCAATAGCATTTCTCAGACACATTGTAAATTTAAATTAAACCCATCATATATGGAAAATGCTTTGCACAGTATCTGATACACAGTAGGCATTCAGATGAATAATGAATTTTCTTACTATGTAGCTCAGGCTAGCTTAGAATTTATTCTGTAACCCATGCTGGTCTTGAAGTCATAGGAATCCACCTGCCTCAGTCTCTCTGTTTCTGAGATTATAGGCATGACTCACCACACCAAGTCCAATTTTCCTTATTATGTTTCTTATTTTATTTTTTGAGATACTGGTGATTGAACCCAGGGCCTCATGTATGATAGTCATGTACTATGCCACTCACTGAGTTACATCCTTAGCTTACATCCTTATTTAAAATTCTTCACTGGGGAGATGGCTCAGTGGTTAAGAGCACTTGGCTGTTCTCCCAGAGGACCTGAATTTGACTCCCAGCTCTCAAATGGAGGTTCACAACCATCAGCAACTTAAGTTCTAGGGGTCCAAAGCGTTCTTCTGCCCTCTTCCAACACGGCACAAATGTGGTGCATGGACACACTTAAGACAAAACACCTATACACAGAAAACAAAATACTTCCCGATGTATGTATGTTTATTTTTATAAGCAAACCACATTCCTTTTAGAAAACTGTAAAATATAGAAAAGAAAACCAAGAAAAAAATTCAAATTACTCAATATCTTACCTTCTAGATTTTGCTACTATTAATCTCTTGGTAAAATCTATTTGTAGTCTAGCCTTTCCTGCACATAGGCACACATTAATGAGTGTGTAGGGAGAGGAGTTGGAAGAGCGGGAGTGATAAATATTTGTAGTTAGATATAAAATTGAAAGGAAGAAACCAGTAATACCCATCACTTCTTTGTTGTGGAAT